TCTCGGGGGTGTCGACAGCCTCATCTTTCTTCCTCGGAACAGCAAGTGTTTCAAACTGCTGACCTGATCTGTTTGCAGCCCAGTGCATAAGCAGGATGCCACCAGGGCTCCCTGAAACACAATAGGAAGCCCAAACAGACAGACAGACAGACTCCCTGCTGAGTCATCGCTGACTCCCAGTGGGCCTATAGGACAGGAGCGACTGGCCCCTGAGTTTCTGACAAGCGGCTAGTGGTTTCAAACTGATGACCAACTGATGATCAGTGCAACAGCCCGTCAGTCAACTGATGACCAACAGAAAGCAGCTCAATGCATGACCAACACGCCCCAGCGCTCACCTAAATTGAAAGTCTAGAGTCCCGAGGCCCAGGACCGGACAGGGTCTGGTTCTGTGGTGCCTTGGGTCCTGGGGGTCGGAGCTGACTTGACAGCCCCTGACAACACCGGGCTTCCATGTGGAGGGGGGCTGGGAGGGGGGCTTTAAGAGACCAGTGAGGAAGCTGTGCTGGGGCTCCAGACAGTGAGGTGGGGGGACGGAGCCAGGAAGCCCCCCAGAGGCTCATGGTGCCCCCTCTTCTCCCTGTGGGGCTGCAGGCCGCTTTGAAGCGTCTGTGATCGAGGAGCGGCGGAAGGGGGCAGAGGACCTGCTCCGCTTCACCGTGCACATCCCTGCGCTCAGCAACAGCCCCCAGCTCAAGGAGTTCTTCCGGGTATGCCAGCTGCCCACCTCCCAGGACCCGGGACACTGCTGCCCCGCCACCAGGCAGCCCTGGGCCTTACCCACCGCTGGGCATCCCCCCCTGCAGGGCGGGGAGGTGACGTGGCTCTCCGAAGTATCCAGGGACCAACACATCCTGCCACCCCCCTTGATCCCCACACCGCCTCCCGAGGAGGCCAGGCTGCCGCCCCAGGAGTCCGGACTACTCCGGCCGCTCCCTGCAGAGAGGAGGGGCCTCGAGGAGTTAGAGGTGCCAGGTGCGTCGTGTGGGGGTAAGGAGCCAGGGCTGGGGGGTGGGAGGCAGGCTGCCCTCCTATCGGTGAGCTGTTTCCTTCTCTGGACTCCAGGTTCCTAATCTGTAAAACGGGCCCCAGTGTTGCTGCAAGGAATTCATGGCAGGGTCACGCCTAACTTTCCTTTTGCTCCCTGTTCTCCTTCGAGTATTGTCCGTTGGGGGACGATGTGGCGAGCAAACCAACTCTCTGTTCAACACCTCCTGCTCATTGATTGGTGCCTTTCCCCACTGTGCACCTTCTGGGATCCCACCTTCCCTGATGTTTCCTGTCTCCACCCCTCCTCCTTGGCCGGTCCTCTGGACCTCAGATGCGTGGCTCATCTGAGGAGTGCCTGGGGACCTCCCACGTAGGCCTGCGCGTGGCGCCGTGGGGGTGATGCCCAGTAGTTCCTTTCTGAACCAATGTTGGGAAGAAGAGGAAGGGCCGGTATGAATGGCCTGCCTGCCCTGTCCGCAGCGGACCCCCCGCCGTCCAGCCCTGCCCAGGATGCCCTGGACCTGCTCTTTTCCTGTGGGAGCATGGAGGAGGCCCCTGGCTCCCCGGGCCGCGGGCCCCTCACCGAGGCTGAGCTGGCCCTCTTCGACCCCTTCTCCAAGGAAGGTGAGTGGGGACGGACGACGGGGTGGTTAGGGTGGCCTGGGAGTCCATGGGACTCAGAGGGCCGCCATGAGTCAGAATCGACTCAGTGTCAGTGCGTTTAACTTTGGTTTGGAGAAGGAGGGCAGAGCCTCGTCATATCTGTAAGTCAGAGAAAGGGGTCCCTCTGGGGCCTGCAGGGGAATGGCAGCCTCTGTGATAAGGCAAGCCGGTGCCTCTCCCCCAAGGGCCTCCCCAGTGAGAAGAGAGTCCTTGAGGGGCTGGAGGCGCCAGGTATGGGGCTGGGGGCAGGAGCTCGAGCCGGCTCCCCGCTGAGGTGGTCCATCTCACATTCGGGGTTTCCGCTGACCTTCAGCTACCTCTCCCCAAAAGTCCTTAAGCTTCTCAGAATCTCTGACGTTTTTCTAAGACTTCGAAGTTCGGGGCATGTCTGCCCTTGGGCTGGGGTCGTCTGGATCCAATTTATGGAGGAACTGGTTGGATTTATGGATCAGCAGGAAAACAGGCACCGAGACAGAGAGCCTGCTAAACAGTCCCCTGGGTGTCGTCCCGAGGGAGAATTAGGAAGGTACAGCGGCTTTTTCAAGAGTCGTGAACCCTGCCCACCAGCTAGCTGGTGGCTGACAGCTCCACAAGGCACCTGGGTGGCACGCGGTTGGGGATCAGCTGCTGGACAAAAGGTGGGAGGGCTGAGGCCCCAGCAGCTGGCGGGAGAAAAGTCCTGGTGCTCCCCAGCCGAGGAAACTCATGGGCTGCGATGTAAAGCCGACTCACACCAGTGTGCTGTGTATAGGGGACTTTTGGACTCCCCAGTCACTGCCCCCTCTACTGGGGCAGCTGACACCGTGGTTGCCACCTGCTGGGCACGAGGGGTCTGGAGGTGGTCAGCAGGCCCTCGTGGGGGAGGCAGGGCCAGCCTGGCCGGAGCCCTCCATAACTGGTTACAGAAGATGCAGGCCCCAGCCCCACACACGTGAGTGAGCTGGCAGAGATGGAGGCAGACCTGAACGCCTGGGAGCCAGGAGTGCCCGAGGAGGAAGAGGACGAGGAAGGCGGGCCCACCCCTGCCTATCTCAGCCAGGCCACCGTGCTCATCACCCAGGCTCTGCGGAACGAGAAGGCGGGCGCCTACCCTGAGGCGCTGCAGGGCTACCGTGACGGCGTGCACATCCTGCTGCAGGGGGTCTCAGGTGAGTGGGTGCTGGAGGTGGGGCCAGGGGCCTGGGAGGCTAGGGGTGATGCGGTTTGAAGAGACTCAAGGATCGGGAGACCCTTGGGTAGCTGTTTTCATCCGGTAGTCTTGGTGTCCTCACCTATGCAATGGGAAGAGTAGACGCAGACCCTCCGCTGGGGGTAATGGAGGAGGAGAGGCACACGGGGCAGTGTCTGCCCGCCGTGAGGGGCCAGGCCAGGGAGGGGTCCCAAAGGGGACCAAGCCCAGGTACCACTGCAGAGCCACATTCTCCACAGGTGACCCGTCCCCCGCCCGCCGGGAAGGTGTGAAGAAGAAGGCAGCTGCGTACCTGAAGCGGGCAGAAGAGATCTTGAGCCAGCACCTGGCCCTCTCCCAACTCCCGCCCTGAGAGGGAGTGGACCTTTCCCAAGACTCTAGCTCCAGCACTGCCAGCCCCACTTCGCCCCTTCTGCCCCGGGGCCAAACCCTGCCCCCTGGTCTTGTAACTCCTGGGGCCATTTCTCCAGGTAATGGACCAAGAATGAGAAAAAGAATGGACTCTCAGCTCCCTGGCTGTGTCTGCCATGGAGAAAGCAGGGGTGTGTCCATCCATGTGACGCCCCGTCTGACTCCCGTGGGAGAGCTACGTGCTCATTAAAGTCAGTGTACCCATCTGGAAGCTGGGTCTGCAAACCACCGCCTGAGGCCAAATCCGACCATCGCCTGGGTTTTCTGGTTTGGCCCATGAGTGAAGAATGCTTTTCACATCTGTTAATGGTTGAGAAAGACATTTCACGACAGGTGAACATTATCCAGGATTTACGTGTACAACACACTTGTTTCATGTGCTGTTAACTGCCAGAGCGTTCCTGAGAGCAGAGTTGAGGAGGATGATTTAGTTGGGTAGTTGCCACAGAGTACAAGGCACAAGCCTAGAATACTTACTACCCTGTTTCCCCGAAAATAAGACAGTGTCTTATATTAATCTTTGCTCCCAAAGATGCGCTAGGTCTTATTTTCAGGGGATGTCTTATTGTTCCATGAAGAAGAATACGGTACACACTTATTGTGTATTGTTTTATTAAAAGAGACCTCACACTTCCTGTCTGCTCTGGCTGCACTGCGGCCAAAAGTGAGCTGCTTGGCGGCGCCTGCGAGTTACGGTACCATGGGGGGGCCTTATTTTCCCGGGGATACCTTCTATTTCAGCGAGAGGCAAAACTGTAAGTAGGTCTTATTTTCGGGGAAACGGTATGTGGTCTTTTCCAGAGGAAGTTTGTTGACCCCTGTGCCCATGCCATCGGATGGATGCCGACTCCTACGCTCACTGGCATGGAGTCAGGTTTGATGGTAGAAGTGTCCCCGGGGAGCGCTGCGACGGCATCTCTTTAGGGGACCAGAAAGCCCCCTCTTCTCGCTCCAAGAGGCTGGTGGTTCGGCCCTTGGGGTTAACAGTCAACCTGGAAACCCACCACACCAGGAGGGGCCCCTTTCCAACTCCTGATGCCAGAGGGTTGGTTTCCGATCTTTAGCGGGGCAGAGAGCCCCATCTTTCTCCCTCTGCCTAGCTGGTGGGCTTGAAGCCCTGACCCTACTGGTAGTGAGTAGTCCACGCCACCAGGAAGAGTAGGACATGGCAGAGGCTCACACGGGGCGCTCCAACTGCCATGGAGCCAGCCCACTCCTGTGCCAGAGAACTGCCCCGCGCCATCCCGGGCTGTCAGCACACCGGAGCCCAGGCCTTTTCTCGTGGCGCTGCTCGGTGGGTGCCAACTGCCAGCCTCTGGGTTAGTGGTCTGGGGCAATCCACTTGCATCACCGGGGACCGAGGGAGCAACTCGGAGAGGGAGCTCCCACCTTTTTTTTTGCGAGCTGCAGGTGTGTTTACTGCTCTAGCATCCCCATCCAGTCTGAGGGTCCCCCAAGCAGCTGGAAGAAGGGTGGGGGAGCTCCCACTGTAAATCAAATGCTAGCAGCTCAAAGGGTAGGGACCAAAGACGGCCTTGGGGGCGTGGTCCCAGCGGCGGCCCGCCTACGCCCCACCCCCAGCCTGCAAAGCGATTGGCTTTGCGGGAGAAACTACAAACCGGTGCATCATGGGAGTACCGCCCGCCCGTTAAAAGACGCACTGAGGGGAATCGCGAGGCCGCGCGGTGCATCCTGGGGAGCGTTACGCGGGCTGCGCGCGCAGAACCACTCGGGACTACAACGCGGTGCATTTCGGGAGGCCGCTCGCCGTTGTGCGCGGACGCGGACCCGGTGAGGCTCAGGGAGGCGGGTGGCCGGCGCGGGAGGCGGGCGGCCGGCCTCCGCGGGTCGCTGACCACCGGCTCTCGCCCCGCAGCCCACCCATGGCGGACTGCGAGCTGCCCGTGGGCACGTGTCCGGACATGTGTCCGGCCGCCGAGCGCGCCCAGCGCGAAAAGGAGCGCCGCCTGCACCGCTTCGAGGTGGCGCCCGAGGCCTTCGGGG